GATCAAAGCAATGGCAGGTTGCCCATCCTTTGGCCAACAGAATAGTATCACCTCAGGAAGCCATGAGATGTATTCTAAGCATGTGAAACACAAGTGCACACTGGGTGATATATTCTAGATTGAACAAGGTATTAAAAAAGAAGCAGGTGTTTTATTTCTCATCTCTGGCTTGCAATTAGAAGTTTTGGGGCAATAGTATTTGACCCCAAGTGTTGTGAGAAGTGATCATTCCTTGGTGACCTGCAGTAAGCGTTCTTGCAGTTTTCTCTACATAAACAACTCCCTTTTCAGCCAAGCTGCCATGTCCTTTGCATAATTGGGTAAGGGTCCTGGCACAGCACAGCCCCAGAAAGAGCTCCAGACATGAGATCAGGTAGGCCACAGGACAGTTACCCCTTTCCCTCGAGATGGCAGATTCAGTATTCCACAGTAAGCATGGATGAATAGAACTGCACCAGCCCATCACGGAATGATGCATCAGTTCTACAGACACCTTCACTTGTGCTTCAAATGTGGCTGTGACACCCCCTCTGTATGATGGCAATCACACACAGCAGAGTGCTCAGGGAATATGGGTGTTCGCAGCCCAGTGTGGCAAGCCTGGGAGCTCAGGACAAATCACTGGGAATTTTAGAAAGAAATGTACAGAGGGAGAAAAATTTCTGGAAACATGTTTTCTGTAATGTAAAATGTGCGTGTAAATAAAGCAGCCAGTTCAAGTCCTGCAGAACAGCCACTGAAAATGGAAAGGTAAGATGGACAACATGGTCTTAAGAGTCTCTGCACACACGTGGCCACTGAAACTACTTGAGGGCATGATTCCCTAAGGACAGACTGGAGAAGAGGATGGATGTAGGGTCAGAAGGTCTTGGGAGAGACACTTTCAGATGTGGATAGAAAAGAGGAAAAATTCCAGGGAAGATACCAGTGGATGGAACAGGGCACTGATGAACACAACACAAGGCAGGGCACAAAAGCGCCATCAACACAGGCGCACGGGTCAGTGTGGGAACACGGATGAGTCACATGGGGCATGTTTATTATACTCACCAACCACACTACCTTCAGGCGTGGACTCTAGGCCTGTGTTGTCCCATATAGTAGCTGCTGGCTACGTGAAGCTGCTGAATGCTGGAAGTGTGGCAAGTCCAAACCAAGATGTGTTGCAAGTATAAAATATTGGATTTCAAGGACTTCGGAGGGAAAAAAATTTTAAATATCTCCATTTTTATATTGATTATGTATTGAGATATTAAGCCAAAAATATTAAAGTGGATTTCAAACTTTTGTTCTACCTTTTTGATGTACTTACTGGAAATTTCTATTTGTTGTGTTGGGGATTAACTGTGGGGTTTTGTGCACGCTAGGCAAGTGCTCCATTACTGAGCTATACTCTTAGCCCTGTTGGAAGTTTTTATTTGATTGATCAGTTGATTGATTGCAGTGCTGAGGGTCAAATCCAAGATGTCAGGGATGCTGGGCAAGTGTTCTACCACTGAGCTATATGTCCCCAGCCTGTTGTAAATAATAGTGTGGCTCACATTACATTTCTGTTGGGCCTCACTATGCTAATGAGACTACAGATCTAAATGTGAAAGATAAAAACTGTAACAGTAATAAAACACAAAACATCTTTGTGACTTGGGGGTAGAAGAGGGAAGCCTCAAAAGCATAAATTTTCAGACCAAAATTGATTAATGTGCCTGCACCAAAACAAGGATTCCCACTCGATGAAGGTCACAATGGGCAAAATTAATAATTTGTGAAATGGAAAAAGATATTTGAAAAAATAGGAGTAATACCTAGAATATACAAAAAGTTCTACAAATCAACAAAAAAGACCCAAAAGACAGAAACAGGAAAATTACAGAAAAGTAACTCAAAAAGTCAAGAACAAAGACATACTCAAAATCACTAGTAACCAGAAATACAAAAAAGCAAAAAGAAAATACTAGTTTATACTTATGTAGCAGGCAAAAATCAGGAAACTAGATATCCAGCAAGCTGGAAAAGTAGTGATGACAGCGCCCCTATGCCCCACCGCAGGAGGAAGGGCAGGCTGGTATAACTTTTCCAGGGAACAATATGGCCTGCTTAGCTTAGATAAGCTAGTTTTATGTGTACCCTAGGACCCAGTGACCAGAAATCCCACCCTTGGATTTACGCCCCCACCATCACCACATTCTCATACAGAATTAGGACATGCATATGTTACTCGCAACCTTGTTTATCATGATGGAAGCATCCCATAAGCTAAGCCTTGACTATGTCTTATTTCCAGAGATTGGCATACAATACACGCAGTTGCACAGCCTGGAGTATTACTCAGGAGTTAGATTCCACACAGAAACGTCACACTTAGTGGGAAAAAGAAATAATGAGCTGTACACAATACCACACAATGGCTGGACCTTTCTTAGGTCCAGGTTAGAAGAAGTCTGACTGTGGAAAGACATTTGTGACAATGTATGGGAGGTTGAAGCATAAATATTAGATATTAAAATAGCATATGGACTGGAGATGTGGCTCAATGGTAGAGCGCTTGTCTAGCATGTATAAGGCCCTGGGTTAGAACCCCAGCACTGAAAAGAAAAGAAAGCATAGCAATGCTTTTTATTAGAAGCAGATAGTGGGGGGCTGGGGATTTAGCTCAGAGGCATAAGTACCTGCCTTGCAAGCAGGTGGTTGTGAGTTCGATCCCCGGTACCAATAAAAAGTTAAAAAAAAAAAAAAAGCAGATAGTGAAATACTCAAAAGCATGAGGTTAGTTTTTAAATACTCCAGAAGAAAAAAAAAAGGCTGGATGAAAATAAGATCAGCAAAATGTTGATAATGTTGAAACTGGATAAAGAGCCCAGAGGAGTTCATCATAGTATCTCTGTACTTTTTCCTTTTGTGAAAATTTCCATAATTTGTTTCTTAAGTTCTCATTTATTTTTTTACTTTAAAGAGACAAAAAAAATTCAAAACAAGATAGAGGGTGGTGAGCCGGCTGAAGCCATGTGGGCTCCAGGAGGAGAAACAGAAGCCAATTCGCTCTTCCTGTGAGCCAACCTGTATGCAGGCTGGGAGACAAGAACATTGCCCACACAACCCTCTCTGGTGTTAGCAAGTGAGGTACAAAAACAACTTAATATTTGTATTGTTTGATTGACTTTGCAGACCTATAGCCTAAAGTTTGAACACTTATTAAGAAGGTCACAATATGCACTGTAGCAAATATGGGGAATTTCCATCTGCCTTGTTTTTGAAATCCAATATTGTTCTGTTTTGTTTCTTTTCATTGCTTTTGTTTTATTCAATGTTGTGTTTGGATTGGTTTTATTCTGTTCTGTTTTGTTGGATTTTATTGCATTTGATGGTATGGGCAACAATTTTGAAGATAAAAAGAAGCATTATGTTAGCCATTGTTGGTTTTCTATTATGTTTTGAAGTCTTGAGATCACTTACACTGTTTTGTTTTGCTGGCTTTAGTCTGTTTTATTTTGTTTGGTTTTATTCTCTTTAAAATAAAAATTTTAAAAAAGATATTTAGAGGATAACAATGGTTAATACTTACATATTGTTATCTTTAAATTAGTTATTCAAAGTACAAGATATCAGCATTTAATTATCCAAACAATATTAGCAAAAATGTTTCTTTTCAATGAACTAACAGAAATTAGTAGTATAATTATCATATATATATATTTCAGCCTCTCACACTAGGGAGACAATACAATATATATGTGAGTCTGATTTATTTCACTTATGAATATAGTCTCTAGCTGCATCCATTTAGCTATAAAAGCCTGAACTTCCTTCTTCTTTATGGCTGAGTAGTACTACATTGTATAAAAATACAACTTTTTTTTTTTTTTTTTGCCTTTTTCCTTTTTATCGGTACCAGGGATTGAACTCATGACTGCCTGCTTGCAAGGCAGGCACTTATGCCACTGAGCTAAATCCCCAGCCCCCAAAAATACAACATGCTTTTAATCCATTCTTTGGTTGATAATTTGTTGTTAAAGAAAGGAAAAAGTGCCCATTAAAAGACATAACTTACAAAAACATGGACAAATCAAATAATGTATATTATTCTCATTAGAATGTACACCTATTAAGGAAGAAGAATGAAAATTAAAGGGATTAAATGAAAGAATGGAGAAATAGATGAGGGAAGGAGATAAAATGGCACAAATTAGCTAAGAGAAAAAACAAAATAGTGTAAAAACAGAAAAGGATGCTGAACGAAATGCAAGTTTTAGAAGGAGGAAAACTGATAAGGGGGTATTAGTTTTAGAGATTTCAGAAAATTTGGGGAATTAGATAAGAATTAAAAATACAATGTACGAAGGTAGGTAATAGCAACTGCAGACCATCTTTGAGAAGTCTCTCTTGGAGCATCAAATGAAGCTGCTAGTGAAGCTTAATGAAAGGTTAGTGAAGGTTAGTGAAAGTTATCTCAGAAATGGTCAAGGAAGTCTCTAGAGGTGCCTGAAAGTAAAAAGTCTGGGTTATCTGGGTGCAAAGAAAAACTAGAAATGCCTAGAAGGGCAGAGGACAGGTAAATAGAATTAACTGGAAGACAAGTATGAATGTCATTATTATAATTGGAAGTTTCTGAAATGCCTGGGAAACAAAAAGAATTCAGTGCAACATAGCCAAGTAGCTCGGAGGGAGGCAAGAAGTTTGAGGAACCTGAGCCTCGATGGTATCAGTGAAACTCACAGTATCATCTCAAGGCGGCACAGTGACTGACAACCACCCTGATAGCTCCACTTGGAGGTAAACTCCCATCAATCTTCATAAGCTTCTGTTCGATAGGCGACAGTGAATAATCTGCTAATAGCTTCCTTTTGCCACCAGGAGGTGCTCTCGGACCACAACTGAATTATGAATGTTGAGCCGCGAGACGTGGTTGCAGCTTGGTGCTGATGGGGAGACACTGTCCCACGCCCCAGCAAGGATTTTCTTTGGGTCTATAAACCAAGTATTTTTTTTTTTTTTTGGCTTGCCCAAAGGCCCGCGATCTAGGAACTTTGATGGACACATGATCAGAGCTTACCCGCTTACTACAGAGAAAACCAGCCCCGTTATATAGCTTGGGTAAAAATGCCTGTTAGATCTACCTCTGCTACAAATCATCTTTATGTTTCTTGATTTTGTTTCTTCAATAATGAAGAAAAAATTAAAATTGTTCAAAGAGCCACGGGGGGGAGGGGCTCTAGGTTCGCTTAAAATATGGCGCGCCTATATATCTGAAATAGTGCCCCTGCTGCCATAGAAACTGACACGCCTGCTAAAGAAAAGTCCTTTAGGAGACCCAGCGAGATAACCCTTTGTCATCCGCACCCCTTCCCCGGCTGGCCCAATAGCACGACCCATTGTGAGGGTTAGTGACTCTTGCCATTTTACCAAGACAGTGGTTGCGTCCTGAGCCTTTCTGACGCTTAAACCGCGACCCCCTCCCAGGGCTGTAATTGGCTGGCCGAGGCTGGGGGCGAGCAAACATACGCCCTGCAGTGCCGTCACCAGTTCCCCCCTCCCACCTGGGTGTTGGGCAGCTATTTGTGTGCGGACGCGGGATTGGTCGGTCGCCTCCCGCGAGGGGTTGGGAAGCCGGGTAGTGCGCACTCGCGCGTGCGTGAGCTGGCGCGCGAGAACGGGACCGGTCGCGCCGAGGCTCGAGCGGCCGTCGCCATTTTGTAAGGTTCTCTCTGACGCGGGAGCCGCCGCCAACACCGCCGCTACCCGGAGGTACGAGGTTGTCTTGGGGGTGTGCGGGGAGCCCGCGGGCGGGCTGAGCCGGGCTTCCCGTAGACGGGGATGGCCAAGGTACTTGGTTGCTCATCCTGCTGGTGAAGGTCCGGAGAAGACGAGAGGAGGCGGGACCGGGTCTCCAGAGGGGGCGGGGCAGGGGTCGGGCTGAGTCTTTGTTGAGGTGAAGGAAGCGAAGGTTGATCCGTGAGGAGGAGAGGGAACCGGGTTTGAGGCCAAAGAAGCGTTTTTATTCTTCAGAGTATTTTGGAAAGTGATACCGCAGCGTGGAGAGGTACACAGATTTCCCTCCAAAATTGCGTTACCACGTACACGCTGAGGTTTCTTGCCTCCTGCTTGGGCTCTTCTTTTTCCTTTCTGTTCAGAGACATGAACTAGCTAACCTTGTTACTTAAGTGCGCCTCATCTTAAGGAGATGTTGACCATGTTGTGCATGCTGACCTCTGACCTCCTGTTAGCACCCCACAGTCTTTAAGAACAAACCTCTCTTCCTCTGTCGGGAGAAATGGACGTATGTGGGAAGGTTTTGAAGGTGCCAGGAACTTTGGAGGCTCAAGCTCAAATGATGAAGTGTATTGAAATTTCCCCTGCCTCACCCTGAATTTGGAAGTCTTGTTTATTCTCTTTCAGGCTCTTGTCAGAATGGTGAAGCTGTTCATTGGAAACCTGCCCCGGGAGGCCACAGAGCAAGAGATCCGCTCACTCTTTGAGCAGTATGGGAAGGTGCTGGAATGTGACATCATTAAGAACTATGGCTTTGTGCACATAGAGGACAAGACGGCGGCGGAGGATGCCATCCGTAACCTGCACCACTACAAGCTGCACGGGGTGAACATCAATGTGGAAGCCAGCAAGAACAAGAGCAAAGCTTCAACCAAGTTACATGTGGGCAACATCAGCCCCACCTGTACCAACCAAGAGCTTCGGGCCAAGTTTGAGGAATATGGTCCAGTCATCGAATGTGACATCGTGAAAGATTATGCCTTTGTACACATGGAGCGGGCTGAAGATGCAGTGGAGGCCATCAGGGGCCTTGACAACACAGAGTTTCAAGGTGAACTGCTCTGGGGCCTGGGTGGCAGAGTTCAGTGGGAGTGTAGCTCCAAACAGAGGCAAGAACACAAGACCTTGGGGTTGCCAGGGTAGTCTCTTCCATTCTCTTTTAGTTCAGAACAGATTGTTATCGATTCTAAGTATAATTTACTCTTGGGAAAGCAAACATTTCCCATTTCAGATGTAATGACTGTGCAGGATCAGAAACTTGGTTGCTTTATCCTGTGATCTTCATTCATTGATCTGAGTGCTGCTGGAAGGCTAACTTGCCCAGATAGATGGATATTTCGGGGGAAAAGGGCAGTCAAACATCTGTGGCTTCCCAACAAAGCCTTTTATTTGATGTTTTAAATGCTTAGAATTTATGGTCTGTTCCCTTGGGGAATGGGTAGTGGCAGGAAAAAAGATACCTGGAGGAAGCCATGGGTATTATAAATCTGGATGGTAAACCTGGATTTGGGGGAGTACCTTTTGGGTGCTCAAATTTGTTCAAGTCTTTGAAGGGTACAAGTAGAGCCAAAAAAGAAAAAAATGTCATGGACTATTCTCTAACAACTGTTGTTATTTGTGAGGCAGGGGAAAAAGAAAAATTTCTAAAAATTCAAGATTGCATAGGAATGATGGTCTTCTGATGAGATTCCATTAAGGACATCATAGAGCATATCATATTGTTTAAACTGATAATAAAGGTACCTGTGTTCTCATGATACTATAGGAAGTTGAAAACTAGCACTGTGCTAATATGGTAGCCACTAAATTTACATTAATTTAAATTAAAATTTAAAATTCACATTTTCATTTGTACTGTGAATTTTTCAAGCACTCAGTTCTAAAAGTAATGGGTACTATTTAGCACACATAGAACATTTCCATTATCATAGAAAGTTCTGTTGGATAGCACATTAACAATGTGTTAGACCACACTTTCTCTTTCCTAAGTCAACACTCTTTTTTGTTCTGATTGCTACTAAAAAAGTTGTCGAGAATTTAGATCAGCCTTGGTAGTACACACTTCTAATCCTAGCACTCTGGTAGGCTGAGGGAGAAGAATGCAAGCTTGGGCCTAGCCTGGCAACTTAGCAATTTAGGGTAAGACCTTGTCTCAAAGTAAAAAAGGGGAAGGGAGTGTAGCTTAGTGTGAATGCCCAAGCTTCAATCTCTACTACCAGGGAGGGAAAAAATACTTAAAGGCCCTTCTTCTGCTAAGCCTAGAAAACAGAATACAAAGAAATATTGGGAAAAAGGAAAAAGTTCAACAGAGAAGGGTAAGGAAATGTATAAATAGTGGAGACTGATGGAAGAGCACCATCAAGTATCCATCCCTTTAGCCAGTGATATTCTGGTCTTTAGCTGTTCTTTAAAGCAGAGATCACAGAAGTTGTAGGTAAGTGCTGCTGTTAACTAGAAAGTAGACACATGTTTTAACCTCTCAGTGCTTCATTTTACCCACTATGGACTTAGTGATCCCTGCCATACTTTCCTCACAGGATGGTAGTAAAACAAGTGAAGTAATAGAAGGTAAAGTGTTTTGAAAATAAAAGCAACATATGATGAAAGGAGAATGCTATTGTGGCCACTATTCCTGTTCTGGTTAGGAAATTGGGTGTTTTTGTTTTAGTTTTGCTTGCTTGGGCTGTTTTGTTTTGTTTTTTAAGGGTACTGAGGATTGAGTTATGGGCCTTTGCACTGTACTATATCTCCAGACCTTTTTTTCTTTAGAAATGGTCTCACTAAATCACAAAGTTGCCTAGGAAGAGATGGAATTTATGATCCTCCTGGTTTAGCCTCCCAGAGTCCTGGAATTACAGCTATGCATGTTCACACCCAGTTTAGAAAGTTACTTAAAATATAATAATTAAGCTTTTTTTACTTACTTTTAAAATTTCTAGTTTTTAAATATAATTTTGAAATGCCTGCATACACTAGCTTTAAAAGTGTTATTTTCATTTGATGTGGAAGGAGATCATTGGTGGATAGTGGAGGGTAAGAAAGGAAGGTACTTGACAGGTAACAAATTGTAAGTCAGCTACAGACTCTGAAGAGATACTCTAGTAGTATACTTCTCTACCTTTTTTGTTATTTTTTTATTTTTGTTCTTTGGTGTGTGTATGTGGGTTTTGTTTTGTTTTGTTTTTTGCAGTACTGGGGATTGAACTCAGAACCTTCTCAGTGAGTCCAGGCTGAGGTCAAACTTGAGATCATTTGCCTCAGCCTCGTAGAGTCCTGGGATTGTAGATGTTTAATACTATGTTGGGCTCTGCCTTTACCTTTTTAATGCATATTGAGTAAAATAACAAAGGGGCAAAAATATGTGTAAGGAAAGTAAGTTAACCAAGGAGCAGTTGGGTTAGGGTGATTGTTTTTTTTTTGTTTCAGTTTTAGGGTTTGCTTCCAAGCCCTGGCCAGTTAAGACCCTGTAGGCCTCCAGAGGCCTTGCTGCGCCTAGTTTTGGTTTTTGATCCCGGGGATTGAACACATGGCCTTATATATGCTAAGCACACACTCCACTGAATTACACCTCCAGCCTTAAGTAATGTGCTTTAATCAAGCAGATGTAATTACTTAGGAAGAAGCCAAGTGTAATGGTATATGCTTGTAATCCCCACACTCTAGGACCAGGTAGCCATTTAGGGAGCTGAACTGGTAAAGAAATAATAGGTGAACATATCTTCAGTGTCAGAATGCCATTGTGTCTAAGCTTCATTTCTAGCCTTCTCAGGATCTAAACATGATAGAAGCAAAGAAATTAAGATCCCAAGTTTTGCCACCTCTCAGTGTTTTAATGCTCTCTTCTGTTCCAGCTTTCAAAAGAGAATACTTTTTAGTGGGCTAGTTTTCTGGAAAATTGGCAGGAAAAAAAAAATTGGCAGACTTTAATAACTTGGAGGTTACTGAATGCTTTGGCTTGTCTTCATGTAGCTTGCTAAAATTTAATCAGTTTTTAATTTTCTTTTCCCTGGTTTCTAAAGGTACTAGAAGAACGCAGTACTTTTCAATTATAAGAACTTTAGGAGAGCTGGTTGTGGCATGTTTGTAATCTCAGCACTCAAGAGGCTCAGGCTGGAGGCTCTCAAGTTCAAGATCAGCTTGGGCTCCACAGGGAGACCCTGTCTCAACCAAACCTTAGGGGACTTAAAGAAGCCTGGTTGTAACTTTTGGAATGACTGTTAACAAAAACACCTTATCATTTCTTCTGTAACAGTTGTTTTTAGTTATAGGTAAAAGGTTTTGTTTTTGGTTTTAGTGGCATCCTTTTCATAACTATATACAGAGGTAGATTTAGTAATTTATAAATTTATAGTTTTTCTCCATCTAAATAAAAGAATGAAGATTTTTAGTATTAGAAACATCAAGGTAAAATCACTAGATTTTGTTTCTCTAAAAAAGGAACCCAGAATCTATAAAAGTAAAGTATGGTTACTGTCAGAATTGGAGCACAGTTTCTGTCTTATTACCTGCCTTTCTCTCTCTCTCTCTCTCTCTCTCCCTCTCTCTCTCTCTCTCTTTCTGCCTCTCTTTCTCTTTTTGAGGCAGGGTCTTGGCATGTAGTTTAGGCTGGCCTTGAACTTAGTAAGCCAGGCTGCTTTGAACTCCTATCTCAGCCTTCTGAGTCCTGGGATTACAGGTGTGTGCCACCATGCCTGCTTGGCTGTCACGTATCTTAATGTCATCATGCATGTTTGTAAGCCATGTAGCTTGTACTTCTCTAGTCTACAGAAAACTACATTTGAGATATAAATGTAGGCAGAAGCTGAGCATGGTAATCCCCGCACTTGGGAGGATGAGACAGGAGGATCACCACGAATTTAACTCCAGACCAGGCTAATTGCTTTTGCTTTGTTTTGTCTTTTTGAGACAGCGTCTCGCCGGGCAGTTCAAGCTAGCCTTGAGCTCACTTTGTAGCCCAGGCTAGTTTCAATCTTCCTGCCTTGTTCCCCGAGTGCTGGGTTATAGGCGTGTGCTGCCACACATGGCTAAAACTAATTTCTGAGGATTGGGAGTATTTAAATACTTAAGAACAGTGGGATTGGTGACTGTCTTCAAACAGTTATTGCTATTTGCTTTTGATGCTTATCGGTGTGATAGTATATACTATACAGGATCAAAAATTTGAGTGAAAAATTTGAGCATCTTTGTTTCTGCTAAAGACTTTTAAATCTAAGGCAGAGCTGGATGTGGTAGCTCACTCACGTAATCCTAGCATAGGATCCTTATGAATTCAAGGCCAGCCTAAGCTACATAGTAGTGAGTTCAGGGCCATCCTGAACTGCATGTCAAAATGCTGTATCAAAAGAAAAAAAAAAAAACCCTGAAGGTGAGAAGTATTGAAAACTAGGTAAGGCATTTAGACATTAAGTAAAACTGACTTAGACTAAAGTAATATAACCCCCCTAACTTGCCGTCCTCTGACCATCAGTGCATGGTGGTATGTTTGCTGCCATCCTGAACTGGGCTGCTTCCAACAGGATGGTGAAGCATGGGGCTTTTGTTGCACAGCTAGTAAATGGTCTGCTGAAAAGAGCAACTTGCTAATGGTGGGTGGAGGATTTGTTCTCAGTAGCCTTTAAGAGAGTGGTGACAAGTCCTTGTTCTCCCTGTCTGTACCAGCTACCTCTTGGCTACCACTAAAGCAGCATTGACTTAATCTGCAAAGTCTTTAGTAGTTTGGGACTAAATTACCACCGAGACTATTCCTTTTTCCTAAACTGCTTTGAAAGATTTTGGATGCTTTCACTAGTCAGGGTCCCGGGGTTACATAAGCCCTAAGCAGAGATTGTTTCTTCTCTTTGCTGTTTGTTAGTGTTGGTCATTTCTCAAAAGCATGGATAGGCCATTAGGTGAATGCTGCCTTAAGTAGAGAGTCCTCTGTAAAGAATTGTATGCTATGTGGTAGGATGAAACAGCGATGATTCTGTTACATGGGAACATATTGTCCCTAACTGGTACTGTTTCAAGAGCTTTCTAGTTCTTATTAATAGACATTGATCAAATAGTAGTTTTTCGGGACTGGGGATTTAGCTCGGCAGCATAAGCGCCTGGCTTTCAAGCAGGTAGTCATGAGTTCAATCCCCAGTACCGATAAAAAGGAAAAAGACAAAAAAAAAGTAGTTTTTCTTTGCAGAAAAGTGTATGTGGGAGCTGAGCAGGGTGGCATATGCCTGTAGTCTTAGCATTTGGGAGGCTGAGGCAGGAGATTCATCATGAGTTCCAGGCCAGTCTGAAATACATAGTGAAATCCTGTCTCAAAAAATCAAAAACCAAAGTAAAAAAAAAAGTTGGGTCTCTGAGGATGTAGGTTTTTCTAGCTCTGATCTGAATTGAAACTTCATTTCAGCTACATTTTGGAGGGGATTGCTGAAATAATGTTACAGGAGTATATTTTTATGTATCTTGTGTTTACCTTATTTGGGGGAAAATGTCAGTGAAGCCAGGGGTGGTGGTACACACCTGTAATCCCACCATTCGAGAGGCTGAGGGAGGAGGATTGTGAGTTCAAGGCCAGCCTGGACTATATAGTGAGAGACTGTCCCAAAACCCTTTTTCCCCAAAAAGAAAAGAATGTCAATGAGTTATAACAAATCATCTCAAATCTATTTCCTTAAGGCAAAAGAATGCATGTGCAGTTGTCCACCAGCCGGCTTCGGACTGCTCCTGGAATGGGAGATCAGAGTGGCTGCTATCGGTGTGGCAAAGAGGGACACTGGTCCAAAGAGTGCCCAGTAGACCGTACAGGGCGCGTGGCAGACTTTACTGAGCAGTACAATGAACAGTATGGAGCAGTACGCACACCTTACACCATGGGCTACGGGGAATCCATGTATTACAATGATGCATATGGAGCCCTTGATTACTATAAGCGCTACCGGGTCCGCTCTTATGAAGCGGTGGCAGCAGCTGCTGCTGCTTCTGCATACAACTATGCAGACCAGACCATGTCTCATCTGCCTCAAGTCCAAAGCTCAGCTGTGACCAGTCACCTCAACTCCACTTCTGTGGATCCCTATGACAGACACCTGTTACCGAACTCTGGTGCTGCTGCCACCTCAGCTGCTATGGCTGCTGCCGCCGCCACTTCTTCCTCCTACTATGGAAGGGACAGGAGCCCTCTGCGTCGTGCTGCAGCAGTGCTCCCCACAGTTGGAGAGGGCTACGGTTATGGGCCAGAGAGTGAGCTGTCTCAGGCTTCAGCTGCACGGAATTCCCTGTATGACATGGCCCGATATGAACGGGAGCAGTATGTGGACCGAGCACGTTATTCAGCATTTTAAAAACTGGAGGTGAGAGTGGGGTGGATGTGGCTAGGAGATTATCTTTAGTTCCCTTGCAAGAGACCTCGCTTCATAGAAGCTAGAGCCCAGCTGTTTGCTATTGTATCCAGAAAGTACAAACTACATGTTAAGTTTTAGTATTTTTCTACCTTGGGCCATGGATTCATTTGGCTTTTTGAGGTTTTAGTGTGTGGCTCCAACATGGTCCTTCTAAGAGCATAACAAACTCATTTTGCTAGAGAAAATATTCTTTAGTAAGTTGAAAATAAATTTGGGTTACAGAAAATAGCATAAGAGAACTAATATTTATTAGATATCTCCTGTGTCTAAGAAGTATTTTCAGGCTGGGGATTTAGCTCAGGAGGTCAGGTGCTTGCCTAGTAAGCATGAGATCATGAGTTTGATCCCCAGTACGCAAAAAAAAAAAAAAAAAAAGTATTAAAAAGATGTATTTTCTCATACAGGGATGTGAACTAAGGCTTACAGAGGTTAAAGGTTCAGTATTTTTCCCAGTTATTTAGTAAATGACAAGTAAAATCAAAATTTGAATTCAAGCTTGTCTGAATCCAAAATGAATGCTCTTTGCACTTCCAAAGTTGCTGTGATAAGGTGAAATGATACTGGTTCAGAAGTCATAATGGATAGCACAGTGAGAACATTTAACTTAAGCCTTTCAGTTTGCTAATAGAACTAATATTGGGTCATTAAGCCTTCATTATATATGAAGCTTTTCAAATGGCATAGTGACAAACGAGGTGAAGTACTACACATGTTAAGTATTAAGTTATAAGATACTTGTTTGAATGATGAATGGTTTGATGCTGTCCCATATAGTCCTTTACTTATTCAGATCTAGAGCATTTGTGTTATATGGACATTTAGCCCATGTAGCCTGCAATATACTGTGTTTCTTTCAGCAATTTTTGTATTTTAGAGAGGAACACTTACGGAATTATGTAAAGTGGGTTTTTTTTTTTTTTTTTTTTGGTCTTTTTTCCTTTTTATCGGTACCAGGGATCGAACTCACAACCGCCTGCTTGTAAGGCAGGTGCTTATGCCGCTGAGCTAAATCCCCAGCCCCTAAAGTGATAATTTTTTTGATGTGCATAAAAACTCATAGGTAGGGACTGGAGATTTAGCTCAGCAGCATAAGCGCCTGCCTGGAGATTTAGCTCAGTGGCATAAGCGCCTGCCTTGCAAGCAGGCAGTCCTGAGTTCGATCCCCGGTACCGATAAAAAGGAAAAAAGACAAAAAAAAAGAAAAATCAAAAACTCATAGGTAGTGACTCTGAAAATATAGTTTCCCTTTGTCAGGAAATGTGTATCAAAGATGTTGGAAGGGCAGCAATAATTAGCATCCAGAAATTTCATGAGTAAGAAATGGCATCATGACAACTTTACATTGAAACTGAGCATCACTCAAATTGGAGCCCCAAGAATAAGATTAACCTGAGTCAACCATTAAACTTTTAAGGCTCCTGATCCCCCCCCCCCCGGTATATTTGTAGAACAAAGCTACAGGAATTTGCTCTTTTTGTGAAGTAAGCCTTTGATGAGTTATTTCCTACATGACCATGTCAACAAGACTTCAGATATTCTGAGACCGTTGTACAGCAATATGTATTCATGTGTGTTAAGTAAATAATTCTAAAACCATTAATTTTTACAGCTGGATCTACCATGAGGTGGGATGCCTCTGAAGTTGGGTATCGGTCTATTAAATAATGTTTTCCTTAATAGTGTTTCTAAGTTAAATATTAACTTTATAGTCTTTTAAGGGTTTTGCTAGGGCATTTTAAAAATAAATTTTAACTGGGAGGCAAGTGGTTGTTCAACTAACCTCTTTTTAGTGATGACTTTTAAAGAAACTTACCTTCCAGGTGTGAACCTCAAATGGACTGAATAACCCTGAGTTGGTTGCAGTCCCAGGAGCCTGATGTTAATGAGGCTGCCAGGATGAAATACAACACAACTGTTGGGGATCCAAATTCGGGTCTCACCTTAGCAGAACTGATCAAGAACGTCACAACTTTTGAAGTCGATTGGCACAGATCAAGACCAAGATTTGGCCCTTTGTCTGTAATAAGTAGAGGAACTTGGTGTGAGTTAACTTTTTTTTTCCCCCAGCCATTGGTGTCTGGAGTTTCCATCATCAATGGAAGAATTAGAGAATTCTAGCAGTGCTTTATTTCTTCTTTCAGTTGGCAAGAAAGCATTGGTCAGTTTAGGGAACTATTGGAACTGTGGTTCTAAATCTGTGACGAGTGTGACATGATGTATTACAAATAAGTGAATGGGGCCATGGATTTAGCTCAGTGGCCTAAGCTTAAGCCTGCCTGGCAAGTGTGAGGTCGCAAGTTCGATCCCCAGTACCAAAAAAAAAGAGTAACTGACCACTCCTTGAGACTGTATCCTTTGTGACCATCATTTTTGTAAGTTTGTTTATATGGAAGATTAAAATGAAACACACTGAGAATGATAATAGTTTGGCTGGGCATGGTGGCGCATACTTCTAGTCCCAGTTAATTCAGGAGGCTTATGGATCACTTAAGCCCACCAGTTGGGGTCAGCCTAGGCATCTTTATCAAAAATAAAAGAGCAACTGGCCATATGAGTTTGAAATCTGTTTTTTCTAGACCTAAAAATTAAATTTTAGATCTTGATGTTGTGTCTGCCCTTTTTTGGTGAAACACCTTTCAATCCCAGATTATTTTGCTTAAAAGATAAGTGTCAGCTAAACATGATAGCACAAGCCTGTAATCCTGCCACTAAGAGATGCTGGGCCAGGAGGATTGCAAATTCAAGCCCTAGGCAACTTTGTGAGATCCTGTTTCAAAATAATAAAAGGGCTGGGGATGTAGTTCATTGTTAAGACCCTGGGTTCAATTCCCAGGGCCACAAAAAAACTTTAAAAAGGGTTAAGAAAATGAGAGAGTTGATTACCAACACAGCAGTCTTCCAGCTAGATTACATCTTGCCCTATATATGACTATAAGTAGATTTGTGTGTGTGTGTGTGTGTGTGTTTTATATATATATATATATATAGCAATTAGTAGACACTTAGGTAATGTTGTGGGATGTAAGTTTGATGTAGTCTGACTTGGTGGTGTTCTGTTCTTTTTCTTCCCCCCTGGAATACAGGACGGGACCAGGGCCCTTGTACTCGGAGCCAGGCTGCTCTCCAGGCATTGTGTAAGCCTCTTGTGTTGTGCTCTCTTTCAGGTAGGATAATTGCGGACTGAACCCTCGGGCTGCGGTCATATATGAGAACTTGCTCCGCGCGGTCCCTTTTGCCGGGATGTTTCCATTGCTTCATGTTTCAGTAAACAAAGGAGTTTGTGACCAACTATGTTTTCTTTCTTAATTTAATTCTTCTAAGTTGACTTTTCTTTCCTTCTGATATTAGTGTCTATAGCCTTTCAATATGTTCCTTATATTCTCAGCCTCTGAGCAGCCCTAGGTAAGGATTATGCTGACATCCCTTTTCCTGTACAGTGGAATCCCTCTTATCTTGCTTTTCCGTAGGAGTTGAACCCTTCTCCCTGCCTACCTGCAGCATCTCCTTTCCCTTTAAAATGACCATGTAGTGGCAAGCAGCCTTCTCTCTGTTAGCTCTGGACTCTAACATTGAAGCTACTTTTCTGAAATTGCTAGGTCCATTGGGGGTTTTGTTGTTGTTTTGTTTTATTTCGTTTTTTGTCTGACCTGTGATCGTGATACAGCATTAGCTGAAATTTAGCCTTGTTTTCTCTGCTTCCACTTTTTTTTAAAATTTTTTTTTGACAAATAAACATTTCTAACACTTTATCTTCTGTGTGCATGATTGTTTTTACCACCAGTATCTTCTAGTTCTTTCCCAGTCGTGCTCAAGCTACAAAATTCAAATGAATGGACATCTTAAAATTTAGATACAGAAGGAAGGATTCAGTGAGGTGAGTAATGCAGGCTTCAGAAAGAAGTACTGTAGTGGCTAAGAAACTGGTCAGAATCTTGATACACTATACCTGATGGTCAGGCTTTTTTCTAAATAACTAGGGCTGTTCTTTCACTGTAAAGCCAGCAAACCCTAGTTAGTAGAGAAACCTCACAAGAAGCCTAAGATCAGGAAAAGGCTGGACCACATTTTTTTTTTTAAGTTGTGGGGCAAGGGGGTACCTCAGGATATAGTTTTGACTGATCTTGACCTGAATCGCCATGTAGCCTCAGAACCATACCATTTCTTGAGGACCTACCAGGCTGACTGAATTTGACTTTATAGTTTGGTGGGCCAATATAAACTATACATTTGAGGCTTATTTTGCATCCTTCCCCAATGTCTGTCTTTGAGAAAGTAGCCTAAACTCACCATGCAGCCCAGGATAGCCTGGAACTCAATTCTTGCCTCGGCCCACCAAGGCTAGCCTCATCTTTTTTTTTTTTTTTTTTAACTTTTAAAATAATTAAGGGGCAAGGGCATCTAGCTTAGCTGTAGAGACACAGTCCTAGATTCAGTGCCCAGCATCCAAGTCAGGGATATAGCTCAGCAGTGGCACAGTACCTGTCTGGCAAGCACAAAGTCCCAAGTTTGATTTTGGTACCCCGCCTCCAAAAAGTGCCCAGCATGCTCAAAAAGTACTTTTATATATGTTAACACAATCATTTAAATTTATTTAGGAGCTATTGCAAGTTCTTTTTTCCCTAGGTGTTAAAACTTCTGCTAGACTAAAACATTCTGGCTAAAAGAATAAGATGGTTTTTATAGATTTCAAAAAGGGAAGTTACACTTAACACAGAAAAGTAATTACAGTTAATGATTAGGAGTGAGAACATTATTAAGTATGTCTCCTAGATTTTTTTTTTTTTTTTTTTTTTTTTTTAAGAAAACAGATACTTAATCCCTATGTACCCTGTAAGTTCTGCTCAGCTATAGGAGGCAAGACAAGGATCTCAAGTTCAAGGACAGCCTGGGCAATTTTGCAAGACCCTTTACAAAATAGACTGAAGCTATAGCTCTGGTAGAATGCTTGCCTAGCATGTGTAAAGCCTAATTTTATCTCCAATTCCACAAAAACCCTGATGTTAAGAGTTCAGAGAAATGGGCAATATATACAATCCTAAAACACTTTGGGTTTGGACAGCCCTTGCCTAGCATTTTTAAAGCCCTGGTTCAATTCCTAGTACTGAAAAACAAAAAAAAAAAAGGGTAGGGGGTTTCTTCATGGCTTAAAATTGAAACTTTACAAATATTTCTTAAAACTGTAGTAGCTGGGTATAGTGGTACATATCTGTTAATCTCAGCACTTCGGGAGGCCGAGGCAAAAGGATTGTAAGTTTGAGCCCACCCTGGCAGTTAGTAAGTCCTCAAAATTACAGAGGAGGGCCAGGGATTTAGCTCAGTGGCATAAGCATCTGTTTGGCAAGCACCATTCCCAGTTTAAAAACAAAAATTCATTTTAGTGCTGGGGGTATAGTTCAGCGGCAAAGCACCTGCCTGGCAAGCACAAGGTCATGAGTTCAATTCCCAGTACCAAGAAAAATTACAGGAGGGTGCTGGTGAATGTAGCTCAGTGCAAAGGCCCTAGATTCAAAATCTAGCAATATCTAGCACTCCCCCCATCAGAACTGTATCAGTAGCTTACAGAGAAACAGTAAATGTTTGTGAAGGATGTTGAAGACAAATGTTCCTAGCCTGGTTTGGGGGTGGGAGGTTATACAGCAAGCCCTTCACCTTCATAAATTTCCTTCTGAGCAGCTATTTGGGGCAGAGTTCTGGGCACATCCCCAACCAAGCAAGGTCAGCAATAAACGTACAAGGGAAAGTAAACCCTAGCCTGATTGAACTATCACTGCTGGGAGAAAGCCAGATTCACCTAGGTGATGTGGGAGAATTCCATGGTTACTTGGGCCACACCTCCCCTAGACTGCTGGGAGAGGCATGGCAAAAGCTCTAGTTGTACAACCTGTGCCTCTACCTTTCAGGCCTGAGGCAGCCTCCATCCTACATGATGTGACTATCATTTCAAGCCACAGTGGAGCTATAGTAGGCCCTCATGATTACAGAAAATAGTTGGATTCCTGCAAGATGGTTTAGCTCAGGGAAGCAATTTTCCCAAGAGGACTTCCTGGCTTGTCTTTAGAGATTTGGAAGAAAAAGTAAAACATGTTCCTGGGAAGAGAGGTCAGCAGAATCAGTCTTAGCACGTTTGAGTGAGAGGTGTGTGCTCTACTGCCAAGAACCACCAAAGCAGAGGAAATGGCTGAATCAGCTCCAAGAACAGAGGAAGATCAAAAGGTTTGGTGCAGTGAATCCTACCAATAATGCTGGAGCCAGGCATAGTGGCACACACCTGTAACCCCAGCCCTCAGGAGGCTGATACAGGAGGACTGCTGTGAGTTCACCAGCATCAGCTACCTAGAAAGACCTGGTCTCAAAAACCCGAAAATAAAAAGTGCAGAGAATGTGAGGATCCAGGTCAAAAAGTGCACATCCATCATTTCCACTAACTACAAAAACCCAGCAAGCAGCATGGTTAGCCTTCCCAGTAATTAAGGTAACTGAGGTTTAGAGAGGTTACATGTTCTGTGCCTTCAGTGGTAAAAAATAAAACACCCCTGATTCCTGATACTTGTTCTCTAGGATACTGCAGGTAAAACTACTTAAATAGCTGGCAAAGGGACAGACCCACAGCCCTAAGGGACCATATCCACCCAAGGAGGAAAAAAGTTTTCAAACTCTTCATACAGCAAGGTGAACTAGGCTGCCAGGATCTAGTTGACCCTTGGCACTAGCATCAGAAGCTAGTGTCAACCAGGACAGTAGCTGTGACAGGCAAGTGGCCAAAAAAAGTCCATTTCTTGCTCTGTTGGCACACTGTCCACTCCACTTTGGGAATAGCCAGTGCACTTCAGTGGCCATGTTTATAATTATACCTGGCTACACAGTGAGGAGTCCCATCTGGGGTCAGTTTACCTGGGTATAGCCACACTCCCAAGTATAGGTTCCTAACTCCTATCTGAACCACACTGCAATCAATGGTAGGGAGTTAGATCAACAACTCCACCAGCCAGGCAAGGCAAATTCCATGTGTGCTCATCTTTTCTAGGCCTTGGGAATGTCAACGAAGAGCTCTTAGCCCAACAGAGAGCTCTTTCCCTACGGATGAACTGGGGTTCCTGGTGATGGTCTTGTTCCTGCCTGAAAGCCAGAGCCCAACCTGACCTGGGAAGGAGCTGCCCTGAGCCTATTCACAGTTAAATCAGGGCTCTGCAAGGAGATGCTAGGACCCATTCTTCTTATGGTCTTGGGCATTTAACAGCCTCTCTAAGCCAGCTTCTTCCTGTGTTGAAAGAGACACACCTTCCTCTGGGCTATCTGGAGCAGTAAAGCAGTCCATAAATGTTGGTACATTACAAAGCTATCAATGACAAGCTAAGGACAGTGTTCCATCCCTCACTGACTAAGGCAGACCCTCAAATACACACTAATCCATGCTGACAACTATGAAGGAGGAGGAACATCAGGCCTAGTGGGACTGAAAACAGGTAAGAAGAGTTACCAATACTTCCAACTACTGTGAGGGCTTGACATCTCAATGCTATAGGCCTTTCTAAACTCAGAGATACTACCATAATCTCTCTTGTTCTAGATGGCTGAACTCTGAACTGATGGAGCACCCATGGCACCTCTGTCCCCATTACACACTCGGGCCCTGGGCTGAACTCAAGTTTCTTTCTTTTGCAGTACTAGGGATTGAACCCAGGGCTTCACCCAGCACTCTTATTGAGCAACACCAAGCTTTCTGAGATAGGGTCACAGTACACTACCCATTAAATGTGTTTCAGGCACTGTTTCCAGATACAAGGGTATGTATTAGTAAGGTAAGGAATTTCTTACTCTACTACTTCTGTGAGAATATTTTTAAAATGTGTAAATATGGCTGAACAAGGTGGTGCACATCTATAATCTCCATTGCCACAGGGTGGAAAGCCAGCCTGGACCATGTAGTTCAAGACCAGCCTGAGCTTGTACTAACAGCAAGACCCTGTCTCAAAAAATAAGAGTAATAAAGAAATTGGAGTACCACAAAATATACAAAATGGATACAACAGTGATGAATATGGCAAGAATATTGCTTCTACTTAGCAAGAGTGGTATGCGACAGCCTTCTGATGCTTGTTTTTAAAGCAAGTATCTGAAGGACTTTAGAGGATGTAGTTTATGGGGGGTGCACCCTAAAATATCTAGATGAAAAGGTAAATCATTATAGGTTAAAAGGGGGGGGAGCTCTGAAGCAGGGAAGAGTTTAGTGTAAGGTGCTTTTGAGAGGAGGGACATTATTAGGAAAGCATGGGTGTAGGGTGAGATGATGAGAGTGTGGGGGAGAGGCTGGGTACTTTAGAGCCTTTTAGGCCAAGGTAAAGGCTGAGCAACTTTTTTTTTTTTTTTTTTGGTACTGGGGATCGAACTCACGACCTCATGCTTGCCAGGCAGGTGCTGGTGCTGCTGAGCTAAACCCCGGCCCAAGGATGAGCAACTTTCTAACAGAAGTTGCTAAAAGGTTCTTAGGAACAGAGGGGCCATCTAATTTATATCTGACAAGATCATTCTGGCTGCTGAACAGAGACTGAGTTAAAAAGGAAAAAGAAAAAAAGGCTGGTCCGATGGCAGTAGGTTATCAGAACTTATGAACATTAGTGTCACTAAAGTTGGTATACCACCCCCCACTACTAAATTTGACTGGCTTTAAAAAAAAAAAAAAAGGAAAAAGTAATTACAGTAGTCCTAGTAGAAAGAGGCTAGTCAGGCAGGGACCATGGTAGTGCCAAAG